CTATGTCCACCCTGAGGTTCCATTCTAAATATTGGTGAAAGAATTTTTGAAATCGGATGAGTAGTTTCGGAGATTACCTGCTGCAAAAAAACTTACATACATACATACATACATACAAACTTACATACATACATACATACATACATACATTACCTCTTTATAATATTAGTATATATATATATATATTTTTTTTTTATAAATAATAATAAAGTGTGTTCAAAATGGTTTATTTTGTACATATTTTATTATGACATGTGTTCCGCAGCCATCTTGTATTTTCTCGCGCGTGTGGGATTGTGGGAGCTCTCTTATGCTGGATCTAGTTTCAAGAACTCTCTTGAGTTGATCGCAACTGAACCTCATTTTAGTCGAGATTGAAACGGTCAAGGGAGGTCGCACCAAGGCAAATGAAGTATAAGGCTCTAGTTTAGTAGTGTTACAGAGTATAATACGTATATTTTAATATATTTTTTAAAAGAAACAAAATCACTGAGAAATGTTACTTGTGTTTAACAAGGTTTGGAAAACTTTGAAAATGTTAACAATGGGTTCGGCTGAACCTGTGTGAACCTGCTAAATATCACCACTACATGTCATATTTTCATTAATAATATATCTGTAATGATATATTATTAATAAAAATATAAAACTAAAAAACTTATAATTTCTAAATATATTTCTAAACAATCTTTTGAAATGGACCAGATTTGTGATTAATAAAGTGTAAATGTATCAATTATATTAAATTATTAATAAAATCTCATATTTTATAACTTCTGTCTGAAATATCATTTTATATTATGATTTAAAATGTAAATCACACCATAATTATTTATTCATGCAATACAAAATGCTAACAGTAATCTTAAATAATTTACCTTTACAAATGGAACTCTGTTCTTATCTTCATGAACTGATAAGTTTGTTTTGGATACTATAAATAAAATTTAAAATGCATTATTGTTATTTATACATTAAATCCTAATAAAATTAAATAATGAAAATCAACTTTTATAAATCAAGTATTTCAAAAGTAATAGAAGTCTTAAATATTTCTATGTTTATAGCATAGAAATATGATTTAAAATTTTCTTTATTTAGATAATTATCAAAACATAATAAAGCTGAAAATGAAAAAATCAAAAACAATTCAAATATTCAAATAATAGTTAATTAAATAAGCAAAATCTTTTATATTATAATAGCTATTCATAAGTAAAAATTTAACTATAATTATGAATTAATATAGTAATCAGAAAATAATAATAAAATTATTGAACTTACCATCTAATAAATCTCTAATTTTATCCAAATAAATTTCAAAATAAGAAACCTAAAATTAAATATTCAAAATTAATTATGATATTTCATATGATACTAAAATTATTTAAATCAATAATTAATATAACAACAAAACACAAAACGAAATAAAACTCTGAATAAACATTTATAAAGTTGAAATGGCAAGAATATAGATTTATTTTATTTCATATAATTTTAACTAAAAGTTAAAATTATAGGAAGTTAATTAACAACAACAATAGGACATTAAGATATTTATTGTATGCATGCCTTGTAGCGATTATACTTCAAATATTCCCTTCAGAATAGTCTTAATTCCCAAGAGTATATTTGGTTGTTATATAAGTTCAATAACAACAAAAATGGATATATATGTCAACTAACAAGACATGTTAAAATAGTCATCTTCAGACTACAGACCTTCAAAAAAGGAACAGAGCATGAAATTTTCTTTGAATCTAGGATTCCATCATGATCAGTTCCTCTTTTGAAGGTCTCTAGCCTGAAGATGACTGTTTAACATGGGAGAAAGCCTTTGCTACTATAAATTTTTTCTTTTTTGCTATATTTTAGTACTTAAGTGATTAAGTACTTTAGTACTTAACTTGTTAGTTGTTCTATACCTACAAGCGTGAATGATACTACCTATTTTCATATGAAAAAGCAATAAAAATATTTCAAAATATAAAAAAAAAGAATGTAAACTGTAAAATAAAACCAGCTTCACAATATATGTTTTATTTCTAATGATTTTTATGTGTACCAAAAAGCTTACTATGTTGAGGAAAAAGTAGAAAAGTAGTTTTTAATTTGCTCTGTGTGTGTGTGTGTGTGTGTACATGCTCAAATTTTGTAGACAAGAACAATCTCCATATATGAATGTGGCCCATAAATATATTATTCTGAAAATTTTTATTATTACTGTTAATTATTATCATATACTTGACAATCACTACATTAGAAACAGGTTGGTCCATTTTTCTGGATAATCATGGCTTGCAGCAAACACTAGGGTATGGACTCTACTAGATGCCAAACATTCTCTATTCTTAACTGGACCTCCTGCTTGAGCAGTTTTGTCAGTTGGTGCACATTTCACACGGGAGTGGGCGACAACCTCACCACATGTTCAACAGGGTTGCAATATGGTGAGTTTGGGGGGCCAAAGTAGTGTGTGTAATTCATTATCTTGTTCCTTCAATCATTCCCAAGTGAGTTTTGCATGATGACACAATGAATTATCATGTTAAAACATGGCATCATTGTCAGGAAATATAGCATGGAGATACTGGTACAGATAATCATCTAACAGGTTCTTGTATCGTTCACTATTCAAGGATTGTGGAATGATAATCAATGGTCCTACACCTTGCCAAGAGAGATGGTGTTCCACAAGCTGGTGTCAGCAGCTTGTGGAACCCCAACTCTGCAACCAGGGGATATGGCTTCATGCTATTTACACTAATTTGGACCAGGCCATTGGTATGGCTCAGTTGAAGCAGGATTCATCATTCCATACAACTATGTTTTCTGCATGTCCAAGGTCTAATGACACCTTTCCCTTGCCCATAAGAGGTATTGTTTGCAATAACACATGGTCAACAGAGGCATCCATGCAGGTCATCCACTATTGAACTCCAGCTGACACAACGTACATTACAAGGTCATTGTTGAAACATATCTGCCTTGTCTAGTATATTTTTTTGGTTTTTATATTTTTCAATATATTTATTTTGTTTGTACAAAATAAAAAAATAATTTTTAACTATACAATAGCCACAATTATTATTTTAAAAAGTTTTCGTTAGGCTTAATATCGACGAAAATTCAACGCGAAGCAACACGCAACAGAGAAAAATTTCAACACGGGAAAGGTTAATATATTTTTCATACATAATCGGTTATCTGAAAAAAAAGTTATCTGAACAACCCCAGTCCCAAGTGATTCGGATAAACGACGCTCTACTGTAATGGCACCCACCATCCAGGCCCCAAGAATCTGTCTGTGCTTAAAGTCACTCAAGTTGCCCATGACTGGCAATTATCACCTTCTACTATAGAAATGACAGGTGAACACATCATAACTGCAGCAAAGGATAATGTGAAAATTTATGAAAAATTATATGAATCCTTTTACCACCTCCAAGGTGCTGGAATGGTGTTCCTAATTCAATGACCATTTAGTGTATTTAAAATTATTAAAGTAATTTTTTACTTCATATCTCTAATTTTAAATACTTAAATGAGAAAATTACACTTAAAATGGCAAATAATTCCAAATAAAATGTAATAATTATTTCATAACTATTTATTTATAAAATCATAAAATAAAATAAGTTNCCCCAGTTCCTTGTGAATCCTTTGCCATTTTATGCAATTAATTTTGACACCAATGAAGACCAACTCGCCAATGCCCCAGGGCTTCGCCGACGTGAAAAGAGAGAGGAAAGAACTTTTGAAGACAACATGAACCAAACTCTGGATTTCCGGATATTGACCTAATTATGTGGCATTGTCACCTAAATAAATGGTTTCTTTGTGAAACACTTGTCTCTTCCTGCCTCCTTAAAACCACCACTCACATACGAATTGACTTTAGTCCATTCTGACAGTAGAGAATAAACTCCTCCCTAATTGGTGAGCTTACAATTGGATACGATTAAAAGACCACCTTAGTGTTGACAGGAACATGGACATTCACAGAGGGGGCAAATGGGGCAGTACTGTATTCTATAATCTACTTGTGGAAAAAAAACACCAAAAAATTAATTAATTAAATAAAAATAATAATAATCACCATCATACAAATAATGAAAAACTATTCTAAATTCTTAATAAAATTTATTTTGTACCTGAAATTACACCATTCATAATATATTTAATATAAAATATATAATATAATATACAGATGAAAATATCAATATAATGCCTTCAATAATTTATTTAAAGAAATTTGAATTTCTTCAAGAATGTTGAAGAGAGAGAATTATATGAGAAGAGATTTATTTAAATATCATTAATCTATTTATATGTACTAATTTCCAAAAACAATAATTCTAAGCACACTCCCTTCTTCTGTTTCTTTTCTCCCATGAGAGAAGCAGCAATGTCATCACACTACTGTATGTTTATTATAAGTGCATACTTTATGTTATGCACTTATTCTAAACAAGTTTCTAAACAAAACATTTAATATCATTCACTTTTCATCTATATATAATACAGTAATACCTCGACTTACGCTACCCCAACTTACGCAAACCCGGAGTTACGTGATTTTCAAATCTCGTCAATTCGTCTTTTGTTTGAGCGCCACACAACTCTTGATTACTCACTCCACTCACACTATTGTTCGGACGTGTCGCGCGGAATCGACACATAGCTACAATTTATTTTGTGTTATTTATTTCTGTGTTTGTTATATCTACGGAGACTCGAGAGACTTTATGTGGTGATTTCTTGTAACCGTGAACGAATCAAAAGACAAGATAAGATTAACGAGAACATTTATTAGCTTATATACAACCNCAAATAGCCGAGTCAAGAATGAACAAACTGAAGGATAAATTCGGCTGTTCATATGCAGCTATGTGAGAAATTATCCATGAGTGTTTGTGTTTCTACAAAGTCTTCAGTCAATATGTTTCCAGTTATCTTTCTGCAGATTAAAATCATCTGAGAATGGGTCTGTCTTTGGAACACCTGCGCCATTATACAAATTAGGGGAAATAATTTTTGTATTCTATCATCACCGGAGATAAAAACTGGGTTTATCACTTCCGAAGAAGAAATCCATGACACGAAACATTTGGCGTTTCTCATTAACAAGAAGTTCAAGACGTCGGCAAGTACTGAAAAAGTTTTAGCGACTGTCTGTTCTAATATATACGAACTGAATTATCGCCAAAGGAATGGCAGTGAGGGACAGCTCTTATCGGATAAATATTATAAAATTAATTACAGTAATACCTCAACTTACGCTACCCCGACTTACGAGAACCCGGAGTTACGCGATTTTCAAATCTCGTCGGCTTACATGTTCGGACGTGTCATGCGGAATCGACACATAGCTACAATTTATTTTGTGTTATTTATTTCTGTGTTTGTTATATCTACGGAGACTCGAGAGACTTTATGTGGTGATTTCTTGTAACCGTGAACGAATCAAAAGACGAGATAAGATTAACGAGAACATTTATTAGCTTATATACAACAGACTTGGATTTTACACAAATTGCAAAATTATACCCTGACTTACGCAGTTATCGCTCGGTCCCACCTATCGCATAAGTTCGGGGTATTACTGTAATTAGATAATTTAATAAAATTTTCTATTAAAATAATACAAGTAAACAATGATTTTATATTAACACTAAACCATCAAAAACCAAAACTTATTTTTCAGAATCTTCAGAATTTGAAACAATGTTGCGATTTAGATAGCTGAAAATGAAAATCTCAGCTTTAAAAGCTTGATGAAGACTGTCTTATCTGATGCTTACATCTCCTATTTGATTGAAAATACTATATCCAAAAAGTTATTATGTAGCATTTACAATCTACAAACATCTAGTCTGTAATCACATGCTACTGGGTATTTATCATTATACAAAGGCACGAGATTAAAATTGTTCAACTATTGTACATGAAATAAAGGATGGAAAAATTATTTTAATTTGGTTTTTCTATTTAAAAACAAATCAAAATCATCTCAAATGATGCAAAGCACTGTAAATTCATTGAAAATTAATCAAACCAAAGTTCAATTTCAATAGTAAAAATAAAAAAACACTTATTTGTAAAAGCACTCAATCTTCATAAATGAGGATTATTAAAAAATATATACAAAATAAAGGAAAATTTTTAGTTATTAATATACTGTGCACAAAATATAAAGATTATTATTGATAATAAAACACCCATTATAGCTTGTAAAAAATACAATGGATAAATATATTTTATTTTAATGTTCCATTTTTACAAACTAAATTAGTTTTGGTCAATGTTTTGGAAAAAACTAACAAGGGAAC